TCCCTAAACCTTCCCTGACACAACTTCAGGCCATCCCCTCGGGTCCTGTCACTGGTCACCACAGAGAAGAGATCAGTGCCTGCCCCTCCTCTTCTCCTTATGAGGAAGCTGCAACTGCAATGAGGTCTCCCCTCAGTCTCCACTTCTCCAGGCTGAACAGACCAAGCGACCTTTTCTGCTCCTGCCACAGAGCAAAAAGATGGGGGTCAGAAGGCACAGGGCTCATGGCAGCAGGAATGTGTCTGGTCTGCTTTAAAGCAGGGCTTGACTGCAGCAGTAGAGCAAACTGTTCTGCATCAGCCTTTGGAAACCTGGGATTGCTCACTGGGATGGGTGCTTTCTAAAAAGTGGAAGTAGTATATCCATAATCAGAAAGTGTAGCAATAAATTCTCAAAGAGTATGTTTTCTTATGAAAAAGCAACTAGCTCTCTGAATGCACACAAAATCCTGCTAAAACAAATCATAACATCATGTACCTTCCTCTTCCACAAATATGATGAATAAGGCATACTAGTCCTGTAGATTGTAGCCACAAAGTAAAGCTGGTTTTAGCTTTCGTTGCTTTTTTGTTTGGTTGGTGGGTTTTGTTTGTTTTGTCCTGCTTATTTTTTCCAGCAGCTGAGTTCTTTGATAGTAAGAGGATGACCTGGGATGTAAGGAATTAAAAAAAGAAACCAAAAAACAACCAAACAAAAAAAACCCCACCACTACCACCCAAAATTAGCATTTCCATGATCAGTAGGTCAGTATCATTAGAAGCTGTTTAGAAGGACCTTTCTCTTGTTTAAAATCTTTGACCATAAAGTGTCTGACTCTTGAAGCTCCAGAAGAGCATTTCTTACCTATTTTGTAAACACTAATTCTGTTATAAACCTCATTTGGAAGGAAAAATTCTGGTAAATAATTGTTAATATTTTTCTCCTTGTATTTTACTTTTATTTCCACTGCTCTAGTACATGCCAGTCACTTTTCTGGAACAGAAGGAGCCCATACCAACTTATACATAGATATGAAACAAAATGTCAATTTATGTATATTTCTAATTCTGTTTTCTGGCCATCTGGCATCCATTCAGAAAATTACTCAAGTATGATGCTCATCAAGTAGCAGCATTTAGACACCTCATATTTAAATCTCCAAGTTTAACCTACTCATACGTGATCCATCTATGTGAATAAACACAGTCAATCTCAGAAGGCAATTCAATTTATTCTAAGGTAAATGTGCAAATTAGCTCAGAACTTTATATTTAGACAATTGAACTGAATGAACTTCCTACCATTCTCCAGTGAGATTTCCTTGCTCATTTAATGCATTAGCCTTGATAAAACAGAGTGATGGGAGGCAACTCTTTACTACTGTCTTGGGTAATTCTGTTTGACAGCAGGCATTTGATCAAAAAGGAGTGGGAGCACAATCCATAGTTATCAATCCCTGGAATTGACAACAACAGTGCAGATGACACATCCTGTGATTTACAGCAGCAGTCACTTAAAACTAATAGCAAAACTAATTAACCTTTCACAGTGCTGAGGGTGATAGTTCTACGAGAGCAACAGCTGATGTTGCCATCACCGCAGCAAATTTAAACTCCTTGACTTCTCAAATACCTTCCAGCAATTTAGCTAGTAGCCATCACCCTTTAATTGTTAATGAATTGTTAATAAATATGGTCCCCTAAAAAGAAGTGTGCTCTCATGTAAAAAAACCACAATACATTTAATCATATATATAGATATATTTAAGGATTGGTTGCCTACAGTTATCATGTTCCAGAAGTGCAGTGCTGCTGTGTGTAACTGTGGTCACTTTGTGGTACATCAGTAAGTGTGCATTTGATATATATGTAACAGGTAAAATATCACACTAATTCAGCTTAAATATCTCTTATCCTTTTCAATTTTTACTCTAGCATATGTTTGTAGAATATATTTTTTCACTCCTTGTTTCCTAGGTAAATTAGACAATAATTCTTTTAGTACTTTACTATATGGTTCTTTGCCACTGTGATAAACCTGGTTTGCTCCTGTTGCATCGAAAATTCATCTTTATTGAGGAAAATGTTAGTACTCAAGACAAAAATTATTTTTCAATGCCTTGGAAAGACATATTGGTATTTTCCTCAAAAGATATGCGGTATCACTTTCACCGTATTTGCTTCTTTTCAGAGTTGTGTTGTAGCATTTATCATCATCCAATATACCAAAATACCTGCAATCTGTTCCCTTCTCACATCATTTATGATTGATGTTTTCTAAACTTGTATAAGAATGCAAAAGGTTGTGACTTGGTGCTGTATTTTGATTTATTCTTACCAATGCAACCCTTGGGGTCATCCAATCCCATGACACCCTTAGGAAATTTATTCTTGTCACACCAGACAAAGAGCAGTCATGTCCAACTCAGCCCACTGTGAACTCTCTCATCAGCTCTTAGACAGTTCACTATTAACACTTCCCCTCATCACTGTATCTCTCATTTCCATTTAAAGAATCGACTCCACAAACCAAGACACATGTGCTCTATTCTTACACACCTATTAAAGGAAAGATGTAATGAGCATATATGAGAAAGGGGGGAAAGTTAAGAAATGGAGGGAACAGCAATCTCTTCTGAGTCTACAAAACTCTGCTAGGTTTTGAAGTGGTGATTTATTTCAGTGCAGTGTTTCATAAGGCTGGTATTAAGGCTTGTTCACTGCTTGCTGTGGGAGAAATGAAAATTAGTATGAAAGCACAAGAAAGTTATCATGCTCATGTGCTTGCAGCTGGAGATCATTGTTTTCCCCATGAGGCCTAAACAGTGAAGCATGACAGTTTGTCCTAAAGACCATCTAGGGATATAGAATAGTCCACAGAAAATTTCCAGATGTTGAGAAATGGTGCTGGAATTTTCAAACTTAGTTTACTGGAATCGTTTATCCTTTTTTCTGGCTCACAGCATCACAAGTTGCATTCAACCTCTCATTCTAAGTTGAATGCACATCTAAGAGGTATGAAAGCAATCAAGAGACGATCCTAACAACTGTTGCAAATAGAGTTTAAAGGACATACAGGGCATAAAATAAATAAGCCAAGTATATTTTCCAGAAAGACTGTGATTAACTAAAGATTGACTGAAACTGTTTGTCCTACAACTGTTCATGCTGGACTTTTTTCATGGTCAAGGATTGGAGTGAGTGCAAGAACTAATATTGATCACAAATCCAGATTTAAACAGCACCTTTCAGGTGTGTCATGTCTTCATTGGTGGTTTGAGGATTTTGTCTACAGAGAAAAGGAGGCATTATAACTTTTCTTGCATCTCTTTCCAGTCATTCAAAATCCACAGTTTAACCAAGATAGACCCAATGGGCACTCAACAAAAAGGCATTATAACGGATTAATGGATAAGAAAAGGGACATTGTTGTCCTTTCCTTCTTTGATCCCAACTACAAATGATATTTATTGCTGTCATCACAAGATGAAGGTGTCATTCTCTTTGCACAACCATATTGCAGAAAGAAAGTTGCTATTATGGCATATTCAAACCTACAGAAATGGCTTTGCCATGACTAAATATTGTGAAAGAATCACTTGCCTCATAACAGGTTTTCTCCCACCTTACAAACAATAGGTGAAATGCTGACGCAGCTGAAGATGAATTACAAATTTAATAATGACTGTAAGTAAATTAGATACCAGCTCCAATTTTTGAGGAGAGTTGGGGGCCCAGGTTGTTGCTGCGATTGTTATTAAATTTTTATTCATGATCCCCAAAAACTTTTTAAGTAGGAAAAAATAGAATTGACATCTGCAAAACAACAGCTGTCATTTTTAGTGGGGATTTTTCAAATTCGGCTATACGTTTGTGATACAAGAAGTAATCTCTAAATGCCACTTGGCAACTTTATACTCTTTAATGGGGAACCTTCTCCAGATGTATCATAATTGTTTACTCTCTGCAGAATTGCTTTGTACCATACAACATCTTGGCACAAGCTTCTAGAATTTCCAGTAATGTGTTAAAGCTCCAGCCTGCTGGCATCACAAACTAGGTAATATATAATCCCAGGGGCTTTATGCTTTCATTTCTTTTGGACTAATATCTAAAGAGAAGAGGACAGTGAAATAATATTTTCCGTAGCAGGACAATAGATACAGAAGCACAAAGCCTCCTATGACATGGTGCTATTATAGAGAGATTGGAGCTGAGGACATGGGCTCTGCTTCCATCACCATACACGTTTAGAAGGTGTAGCCCTGCTTCACTCTGCCTGGCTTCTGTAAAGCCTTGTGGGAGGACAAGCAGAGGAAAGGCAAAATAGCTTTGCCTACATTTCCTTCTGTGCCTTCTCTCCATCTCTGGATTGATTTAGAGAGAAATCCATAAAATGTAGGAATAATGGGCCTGTATTTCTACCCACATAAAAAGAGAAAATATCCTTACTTTTAAAGGTCACTGTGAGCACTTCCATTTAAATTGTGTGAATGATATTGCTCCATGTATGCAAGAAGGTCAAACGAAATGCTGACTTCACCAGTCTTAATTCATTGCCTTTCAATATATTACTTTTAACACTCTATTGAATGTTCTCTTTTTTCTTTTCTTACCTTTTTTTTTTAAATGTGTTAACTTCAGAATCTTGTAGTAAATGCTTCTGAAAAGGTGAATTGCAGTGACCGTTATGTGACTTGTCATGACTCCTAGAGAAATTTCTATTCTTGGGAAAAAAGCTCCACAGAGGCAAATACATTCTGAAGCATTTAATCTAGTTATCCAAGTGTACTGCACGTATCTACCATTTGCTCATCCAAGCTATACATTATCCTTACACTGCTGACTGAAAACTATAAGCTACAACTTTAACTATAAAAACTGCAATTCAAAAAGAAAAAAAAATTAAACCCCAAACTAAAAAACAAGAGAAAAAAAGTCAGAAAACTCTACTCTCCAAGTTAGAAAGATACATTCAGTTTCCTTTTACATTAATGAGGGTTGCTTTTTCTACTTTTCCAGGTAAAACACAGGTTATGGGTGAAATCAAGATTGCATTAAAGAAGGAAATGAAGACAGACGGAGAACAGCTGATAGTAGAAATCCTTCAGTGCAGAAATATCACATACAAATTTAAATCTCCAGATCATCTACCAGGTATCACACAGAAAACAGCTTCATGGTACTTTGAAAACATCAAGTAGGCTGTTTCTTAAGTCAGTTAACGACACCACTAAAATGGGAAAGAAAATTGCTTCTTGGTCAGGATGAATATTCTACAGGATTCTTTTTTAAGTGCCTTTTTTTTTCTCCTGTGAGCAACTTTAATGAAAGTAAAAATATTTTGTAGAAGCAAATTAACTCTCGGAAGTTAATCCTCTTTTTAATTTACTTTTGACTGCTAAAAATTAATCCATTTTTAACTTTAGTAAAAATTATAAATCCCTAGGTTATTAAAGAACAGTTATATCTAGTAGAAAATTGTATTTTGGTGAAAAAGTTTTTTAAAAACTAAAATATCATGTTCATTATAATATTTTCATACTTAGACAAAGCCATCAAGGTATTTGTTCCTTTAATGACAGTGCTGTAAACACAAATTAATTCCCTTCGATTTAGTGGGGTGATTCCATTTCCACACCATGTGAATGAGAACAGAATATGGCTCTGTAAAGAATCATTTTTTTCACAAAAAATCCCCTCTGTTGAAATCATTAACAACGACTATTTAAAAACTTCTGTATGTAACTCATTGAATTGTTCTTCCCCAGACCTGTATGTGAAGCTGTACGTTGTCAATATCTCTACCCAAAAGAGAGTAATTAAGAAGAAAACCAGGGTATGCAGGCATGACCGAGAGCCTTCGTTCAACGAAACATTTAGATTTAGCTTGAGTCCTGCTGGGCATTCTCTTCAGGTAATTCTGCATTTTATTTAGACCTAATTTTGTATGTTGTCCATGCTGTGCTGTGGGCATTTGAGATCAATCTTCTACCCCAGTTGTTTGCTGAAAAGAGAAAGCTACAAAGGAAATAACACAGTTACATAATAATGGAACTATCAGGCTAGAGGAGGCATTAAAAGACAGATTACTCCATCACACCACACTGAGGAAGGCCTGAAAATTTTAGGTTTGATCTATTCTTAAAATTGCGTAGAGAAGTGAGTTATGTGTGCCTTCCAAGAATAATTTCTATGTATTTAGAAAGTTGAGTGCAATATCAAACTTAAATATGCCATATTTTTAAATTAAACTCACTTATCCTTAAGTATCCTCACAAAGCACAGAGGAAAACTGATCCACTTTCTCTTTAATTATTTTGGGGTTTTTTACATTTAAAGGCTGTTATCTCATCTCTATTTTTCCAGGTTAAGTCAACCAAATTTCTCTGATATATCCTTTTGCCAAAATGCCAAATCGTTTTATCATTCTCTCCAGTTCTTCAACTTCTTTAAAAGTCATGGTACCCAGAATTAGACACAATAGTTATATTCATGGACATTGAGAATTACTGATTATGCCAAGTGAAATATTCTCGGTTACATTTGTAAAGGAGATGACTTTTTTTTCTTCAGTCTGTGACACATCAAGTGATGTTTATTTCAAGTGATGTGTGGAACTGGTTTGGGAACAGTCCCTCTTCTGTGTTTTAGTTGCTTAGACAGGTTTGATAATATGGTCAAGCTGGCTTTTTTAGACAGGTAGTATTCAATTTTCCTACTTTCATTTATTTTCACATGAGTAGATTGTTGGTAGTTGTTGGACTTATCAGCATCCACTTAATGTACCCTTAAATCTTGCAGACCAACCTAAATAAGCCAGCTACATTCTAATGACTAAAATTAGTCTGGATTCTCCAAGTGCCTACATTAGGCATATTGGTTGTATCATTAAAATTAAAGCCAAAATGGATGTTGCTTACAAAACAAGGCCAACAAATAGATGCTCATTTTCCTGTGTTAAGGTGTCCTAACATATTGTTTCAGTAGACTCGATAAAAGGCTATTTAATAATTGATATTATCTGGGAAAATCCAAAGTGATCAATAAAGTCTTGCCAAAGTTTATGAGCTAAAATTCCTGTAAAAGCTCTGCTTCCAGTGGTAGTTCAAAGAGGAAACCATATGGAGTAGACCAGTAAAGAAGAACTCACAGAGTCCTATGGAAAAATAATCCATCAAGTTGTTAGGATGGGAGATAGTGAGGGAGGTATCCATAGAAACACTCAGCTGGAGACTTGACAGCACTTCCTCAAGAATTCTGTGATATATAGAGAAGAGGAGACTGATGGGAGACCTTAGTGCGGTCTTCAACATCCTCATGAAGGGAAGCGGAGGGGTAGGTACCTATCTCCTCACTCTTGTGACCAGAGACAGGACTTGAGCAAAAAGCATGAAGATGAGTCAGGGGAGGTTTAGGTTGGGTATCAGGAGAAAGTTTTTCAACCAGAGAATGGTTGGGCACTGGAACAGGCTCCCCAGGGAAGTGGTCACAGCACCAAGTCTGAGAGAGTTTAAGAAGCATTTGGTCAATGCTCTCAGGCTGATGGTGTGACTCTTGGAGTGTCCTGCACAGGGCCAGCAGTTGGCCTTGATGATCCTTATTGATCCTTTCCAACTCAGCATATTCTGATTCTATGATATGTACTGGGAGTGCTCATCAGAGCTAAGAAAATGAAGGCTGTATAAGTATCAAGGAACAAATTTAAAACAAACAAAAAGTATTTCTACTTCATGAAACTTGGAGTTCAAGCTGTAAAATTTATTCTCATTATATATTGTGAATTCTAAAGACTTCCACATAAAAAATAACTGGAGAAAATGATTGGAGAAATTTATGGGCAAAAGACCTCACAGTCTGTTAAATGCAAACTTGCTACCTGTGAGTCAGGAACCCAGTGGACCACAGATCATAGTAGGTATTTTGAAAGACTGTCACTACCTGATTGCCTTGTTCTTATATTCTACCTTATACACTGCCCTCTGCACTTTTGGAAGCAGAATATTTGCCTGAAGACACCCATGATCTGACTCAGTATATCTGGTATTTTATGCTCTTCAAGCTTATCAGTTGATTTGTTCCTATGGCAAAGCATGAAGCTGGATGATTTGAATGCTGAATCTGAGTAATGAACATTTAGGGCCAAAGAGATGGACATTGTCAAAAGCAATTTGGAGGAGAGGGAAACAAAACAAAACCAGAATGCATAAAAAGAAAATGGAATTGGAAGATTAAGGGAGAAAATAAGATCAGAGAGAGGGAGCGAGATGAGATCAAACATGATAATCATAGATGGTACATTGTAAAGACCTATGAAAACTAACCAGAGGCAGAAATTAAGACAAGGAAATGCACTTTAAAAACCAGCAGCAAGACCTGTGAATAATAGGCATAAAAATGGGAGCGTGGGCTATTGAGGAAAAAAAAAGCAGGATAAGAAAGCAAAGAAAAAAAAATGAATTGTCTGATATAGAGTACTGAGGATAAGAAAAAAAGAACCCTGGAGATTAGAAAGTAACAGTAGCTGATCCAGGACAACAAGACTGGAATTTAAAGGCTGGGGCAGGGAAGAAACAAGGATGAGACACAGGCAAGCTAGAGAAGACAGATCCTAGGGTTCCAGCTTGGAGGAGCGGAGAGAAGGATCACGGACAGAAGTGATGAAAAATTGTTAAAATTTTTTCTGTCCCAAAACTGTTGACGAGTCAGAATGAAAACATTCTGCAGTAAACATTTTGACAGGTTTTAGACAAGCACTTGCCTCAGCCCCTGGCAACTTTTTCCTTGTTTCTCTGATTTCCCTGTTCCTTGGTAACTCACCTGGGACACTTCTGGAAAGCACTAATCTTCTGGTTCCTTCACCTTGTTCCCTAGCTGGCTCCTCGTTGACTGCAATTAGAAATACATAATACATATGCAAGGTTAATCAGGAAAAAACAGAACAATGTATTTCATGGATGTTCTGGTTTAGTTTTTCAGCTTCTGGGAGGTCCATTCTTCAGCAAACACTGAACCAAGCAACCTAGAAAGCCACCAGCAGTGGAGGCAGGCTGTCTATTTTCTCCAAGGACAGACTTTCTGATGAATGGACTTTCCTAATAGTTTAATAACTAAGAGTAATTTGGTCTTTCCTCCTCAAACCTCTTGACTAATAGCCACACAGGTCTAAGCTGTCCAGGTACATACCTTACTCGCCAATTGATATCAAAACTGGACAAGGAACTGGGAAGCCTATTCTGGAAAATCATTGCAAATTTCTTCCCTTTTTAAATTTATTTTTAAATGTCATTTGTAATGTAAAGTTTACATTTTTTACTTTTTTTCCAGTATCAGAATGGAAAATTTTCAAAAAATATTGATGTTCTTGATTAAAGGAAATT